GGACAGAAGTCGGATTATGTCAGTAATTCTAATACATATCTTTTTAGCTTGACTGTTGGCAAAATGTGAAATTAGTTGCACAAAAACCTAACTTAATAAAAGTGACTTGAGTCTCTTCCACCACTTCTAGTCAGCACCATAAAATATATTATCCCGAAGTGATGGTAGGGCAAGCTTTATAGGAGACAGCTACCTACTCTTGACTTTTGACCGATTGGGTTTTGATGGTAACATTAAATACTTCAATACAAAATCCCATCGCTTATAATCATTACATACATCCTAATGTACACGATATCGAAGATGTTTATTTTCTTATAATTCATCATCATCATTTCAGCCATAGGACGTCCACTGCTGAACATAGGCCTCCCCCAATGCTTTCCATGTTAATCAATTGGTAGCGGCCTGCTATTTCTTATAATTTTCTTATAATTGCTATAATCTTTTTTATCCTGTAAACAGCAAACAGCGCTAAGCTCACGGTGGGCGCAAAATGTTTACGCTTACATTATGCTTAACGAATATAGAGCATGGAGTTTCACAGCGATAGTGAATCAGAAATCTACGTGTGGGCTCAATTTAGAATTTAATAATACTGTTTTGTACAGACAGCAAGGGAACCAATTACTTACTTCTGTAAAAAAATAATGAGTTATATGCTTTAAACAAAAGGGGTACTTGTGATTAACTAATAATAATATCTAAGGGACGTGTCTTCTAAAATAGTTCCGAGTGAAGCTCCATCTTCAGCCTGATCAACACTTTCCACCAAGTCTTTTCACCATCTTCATTGGCAGGGCTTGACGGTTATTAGATACAAACAAGTTAAATAAAAGTTAACTTGTTTGTATCTAATAACATAACCGTGATGATTGGTTCTGCCGTCAAGCCCTGCCAATGGGTATCTCTTTGTACTTTAACAACGAGGAAGCCCTTGGTATCTGATAGAAAGTGTTGATCAGGTCAAAGGTGGAGCTTCACCCGGGAATATTTTTGGCACGTTCTTTTAAGGCTAGTTAATCCAAACTACTCCAATTGTTTAATAAATTCTTAAAGCAATTTTATATACCATAAAGTTTAGTATGCCTTATAAAATTTTAGGTAAGTTGATTAAACCCTGACATAACAAATTCAAATAGAAACTGCCACAAACCGAAACGAGCGTGGCTTCCGAATCACATAAAACTTGCATCGTCGAAAACCAACCAAAGACGTGTTTTTAATTTATATGCTAACTACACGACCTTGTTTCCTACTAGTCACTTATTACTGCTCATTATCCACAAATAAACTAGGGTTCGGGCCGGGTTTAATTTGATCAGAGTGAAGATTACGCCCGTCCAGCCACCACTTAAATTCTTATTTGTTAAATTACTTATTTACTTTACGATTAACAATTTTCTGAATTGCCAGCCTGAGACCGATAACTGTCCGGAATTCCAGCGGGTAAATTCGTAAAGCTCGGTAATTTCAATCCTCGCCATTTTTAAAGACGCAAATTTGCCCGTCAAAAGTGCTTTTACTTTACTTGTACGAAAGTTAACTTCTACAGGAAGATTTTTTTAAGTTCGTGAGTTGGGAGACACCTTAGTTCTCAATTGTTTTTTACATGTTAGGTATACGGTATTTGGCAATAAACGAGTAAGCCCGATACCTTATAACTGAGTGAATACTTGATTTAACGGTCATTCTCCGGATCTGGATTATTTTGTTGATTACCCCGACCTTTTTTATTTTTGAATTAAGAGTAAGTTTAGGTAAAACATTTCAAAATAGACATTATTACGAGCATATTTTTTATATTGGCCCATCTGTAGCAAGCAGGAATAAAAAGTTATGCGACATCAAAATTTTCATGGTCGGGGTAATCAAAGTNCCAATATTCCTTCTATTTATAAATGATATTAAATATCGCTCGCGTACATATTCCTATTTTAGATCGGTATTCTAGGGCGAAGTTCTATCCTTCCTTCGCGTGGGTGGTGCAATTTGGATGTCTCCCTTGTTTTAGACCTTATAAATTGCCCTAGGAGTCTGAAATGGCTCAAACGAACCTACAGCTTAACGTGTCCTCCGTACTCCGTAGCGCACCGTAATAAATTTTCTTTCACCTTTTTTTAACAAAAAAAAATGCATAGATTCAAGTTTATGGGACTCATATTGAAATAATAACCTCAGTTATTCAAATTTCTTAGCGATTAGAGTCGCATCTCAAATTAAATTATAAATAAACAACTTAAAAAATCGAACTGCCTCAGTGCTCCGTCACTCGTCTTATGGTAATCTGGATTATGCCTCTACCACAGACCTAATTTTTTTTTCCACTAACCAAGAAGTTGCTTGTCCTTCGTTAATGACCTATCTGTCTCTACATCAAAGGTCTTCAAAATTGAGTCAGCTTTTGCATTTATAGCTATAATACATACATATTTAAACTTAACACATACAAACCTATCACACGTAAACAAACTGCTATTTATAGACAACTGTAATATCGATGACTTTTATAGCCCTTTTAACGGGAACTTCAATAAATACTTATCGATAAATACAAGGGATTATCGTCCACTCCATTTTTTTTCATCATCCAACAAAATAAGCGATCATTATTTACTGCCCACTGGAAATTATTTACACCATGCCTCGAGTGGTGTATTATCGAAATGAATTATTTATGGTCACTTCTAATAATGCTATTTTGGTACTTTGTTTCATAACCTTTAATTCCGCGGTTGGAAGAAGTTGATTTAAGCTTTGTGACCTTCCCAATCTGTTGGCGCTTTTACACTGCGCGGAAATTAGTCAAGTCAAAAAAACAGTGGAGTGGGGATGAAAAATGAATGAATCATGAATGAATTTCATCTTGTCCCGAAGTGGTTAAAAGGCAAGCTATATTATGGGACATGTGTAATAATGTGTATAGTGTATTTTTTCATGCATAACAAGGCAGGTATTTGACCACAATCGCACCTAATGTTAAGTGGGCTGCAGTCTACGATGGTACATATCGGCCCTGTAAGTGCCTATTCACTCTCGCTTTGAAAAGGCCCGGATTATAGTCTTCGGGAAAGACAGCAGCAGGCGGCGAATTTCAGTCCCTAGCTAATGCATAAGTGTCCCTAGCTAGTGTATACTTAAGTGCACTAAGCGTTTCGATAACTCTTTTATAATGCGAACAGCTAGGGACTGGAATTCGCTGCCTGCTGCTGTCTTTCCCGAAGACTATAACCCGGGTCTTTTTAAGGCGAGGGTGAATAGGCACTTACAGGGCAGATATGTACCATCCTAGACTGCATCTTACTTAACACCAGGTGCGTTTGCAGTCAAATACCTGCCTTGTTGCATAAAAAGTGCCTACTTAATTAAGAATCTGACAAGATGAAGATTAATAAAACTCATAATAATCTTAAACAATTTATTTAGTAAAACACATAAAAAATTAGAAAAGTATTTACAAAAATATTTACAGTCTCTTAATATTTACATTAGACAAATATCTGACCGTTAATTAACAGGCAGTTAATCTAATTAACACGATGGCTTTTAAACTTAACTAATTTTAATAAAATAAACAAAAATATTATTAGCATTAGCATATTGGGCAAACGAAAATTTGTTTCATATTTTATATTTACTTATAAGTTATATTCTTTAACTTCAATATTAGTATCACAAATATAACATAATATTTATCTACTAATATTAGTGAGATAGGGTGTGATACAGTTTTTAGTGTTTCTAGGAATGTTTCAATTCGAGATTAAAGTCTATCTTTTTTATTTTTTTGTAAGTATGAAATACCTAATAAATGAATACTTGAGTCCGAGCCAAAAGTCTAGACAATTTTGTACGTAAGATATGATAAGAAATCCTGAAGTAGAAATTGAACTGTCTTAGTGAGTTCAACTTCACTTCACTTTACTGCAATAAAAGATAGAATCACTCAAATAACTTGTGCCATAAATATAGTAGCCATATTGGTTTACAAGATTACCAATTTCTATTGTAAATACTTAATTATGGTGCATCAGAAAGTCTACATATTGGCTAATACTAAATCTAACCAAAATCTTAACATAGCACTCAGCATGGTAGAATTGGTCTATCCATAAAAAATATGCCTCTAGCCTTACAAAAACGCTCTTTTGTGGTTTTATAAACCAAAAAGAGTCTGCTAGAACTAAAGTAGGTATATTAGCCTCTATGACATTGCACACGCTAGACATTAATAAACTAATTTTCAGTAATAGAGTCACTACGGTCTCCAGTCTATCAACCTACCTACTGTAAATTTCCTCAATAATTTTAAACTTTATACCAAAGGTATTAATGTGAAATCTCTTTGGGGAAATCTACAATTTGCCGTAGGTTGACCTGCTGAAAACTACACACAGATATAGCCACACCCCGTAGCTTTGTAAAAATACCATAATTTACACTCCGTGTGTGTTCCAAAAATAACATATTTCCAAAGAAGAAGAATTTACACTCTTTACGCAAAAGAAAAAGAAGGTCAATCAAAAAAGGAATAGTACCTATACTTATGCCTGTTTTCACCATCAATCCCTAATTTTAAGTGACCCCTATGTAAATAAAATTCCTGTTATGTGTTACCATAGGGGTCACTTAAAAATTAGGTATTGATGGTGAAAACGGGCATTAAACCCGCTTATTAATAAAAGTTACATCGTGGTTGGACTCTGTTTAAAAGTGATATTAAAACAGGGTTCAACTATGGTGTAACTTTATTAATAAGACGGCAATACTATACCTACATAAATCAAGGATATCAATCAAGGAAGAATAGTATACTTTTAAATCAAGATTATCCTTACGTAGAGATTGCAAAATCCGGATTTTTCTTAAATCCGGTTTTGCGGATTTGNTGTAGAAATAAAAGTGTTAATTAAAATAATAATAATCATTAAGACGTTTAGACAAATTATATGAGTCACTTCATTCGAAGATATAGTTTATTTATAACCAGGTAGTCCTTTTAACCTACAGGCAACATCGCACGTTTTTTAGAGAAATCGATAATCAATAAATCGATCTTTTAACTTAATCGAATGTACGGCCGCGCGCCCCTCCCTAGGCCGGCCATGTTTGAGCCATTCTTTTTTCGTGCGGCAACGAGTGCACACCAATTTTACGAAAAAATGCCTAAGCGAAGTGCTCAGGAGAAGTTAAAACGATACAAACGTAAAATAAGGAAAATTCAAGAAGAGGAGAGTAAAAAACGTCGACTACGACGTGTTTTTGATTCCTCGGATGACGAAAATGTTACAGGTAAGCAAAGTGTTAATTATTTGGTGATAATAAATGAAGTGATTTTACGTTAAATATCGGAATAGACTGCGAGTTTATTGCGATGGGGTGTAACTGCGAGTTACACGCCGCTAATTTACATTTATGAACTTGAAAGTCGGGATCGACTGCGAGTCGATCAAGACAATGTGGGTAACCGCGAGTTTACCACAATGTACTATGTTACACTTACAATAAAGCCGAATATCGTTAATTACAACCGATTTTGTCTGCGAGACAAAATTATTTTGTTAAATACAATTAGAATATTTTTGTCGAAGGGAATATAAAATTACCCACATTTATTTTTATTGGCAAAGTGCTAAATTTAGACTTGCTTTTTAGATTTGGATCATGCCGAATCATTCGGACTTATGGATGGACAAACTGAGGCTCCGATTTCCATGCCGGAATGTCAACCAGATGAGCCGGACGAACCACCACCTGCATCTCCGACTCCAAAACTATCAGAGGCCGCAGACGGGGCGCAACCTGAAGACTCGCAAGTACCGAACACATCACCTACGGAGGTCACGCCCGAACCGGAACAGACCTTAGATCCCGAGCTATTATCGGCTTTAGGTGCTTCCACCTCAGACACGCCAGAATTCGGGGAAGCTATTCACGACAGCTTAGCGACTTTGTGGCTCCCTTTGCTGCGGAAAGGATTGCCCAAAGACGAGAAAGACAAACTAGTTAAGGACCATTTGATTCCCAGTAATTGTAGACTTTTACAGTCACCAAAACTGAACCCAGAAATTTCAGCGGCTGTTTCTGAGATTGTCCGAGGTCGTGATAAAAAACTTGCTGGTTTCCAACAAACGCTAGGGATAGGTATCTCAGCAATGAACCGAGCTATGGATATTTTACTCAAGTCTGACGATAAAATTAAATCTTTGAAATATCTCAGTGATAGCTGTCGTCTTTTATCCGACTTACACCATTCCTTTACTAAAGACAGAGTAAAACTTGTTACACCAAGTTTAGAAAAGAGCGTCCTACACGTTATTCACGACGCAGAACGCGATGACACGCTTTTCGGTAGCTCGTTAGGGGAGAAAATTAAAGCCTGTAAGGCTATAGAAAAGCAGGGCCAACAAATTAGAAAAGTTGGCTATCAGGCTAAACAGAATGCCGCTCCTCAGCCCTCAACAAGTCGTCCTGTCCATCAGGGAAATTGGACAGGACCTCCTCGCTACCCTTCAAACAGAGGGGGACGGGGAGGTCAGCAGAGGCCAGCACCGAAAGTGATTCGTCGGTCTTATCCCTCGACGGCAACCCAACAAACGCCGTCGAAGAACTTCAACCAATCCAAGAACCGTGCCAACGCACAGCAATAGTGCAGGTACATGCTGGCCGACTATCTTATTTTTATAATTGTTGGGAAAATGTCACCAATAATCGCGTGATACTAACGTGGATTGAACAAGGATTTACAATTCCTTTTAGTGAAAAAGTAACCCAATCTGTTGTCCCGCAGTGTACGTTTAATATTAATGAAAGTCGAGAAATGTCCACTGCCATTAAAAAACTCGAACAGCTAGGGGCTGTATCTCCTTGTTCTCCCTGTAATGAACAATACATATCTAAGATATTTTTAGCGCCTAAGGCTAATGGTGGCAAAAGATTTATACTAAATCTAAAGTCATTGAATAAATTTATCCCACACATGCATTTTAAGATGGAGGATTATAGGACAGCCTCCAAATTAATCCCTCAAAATGGATTTTTAGCCACCATTGATCTTAAGGAAGCTTACCTTTTAGTTCCAATTACTATTTCCGATCGGAAATACCTAAGGTTCCAATTCCAAACTTCCCTCTCACAAGAACCAACTCTGTACGAGTTTTCAGCAATGCCCTATGGTTTGTCTGTAGCACCAAGGGTTTTTACTAAAATTATGAAGGAAGTAGTCACTTACCTGAGAAGACAAGGTTTTAAGTCAGTTATATTCTTAGACGACTTATTATGCATAGGAAATGACCTGCAAGAGTGCAAAGACAATGTAAGAGCGACTTTAAATTTATTGCAATGTTTAGGCTTTGTTATAAATTATGAAAAAAGTTCTTTGCATCCTGAACAAGTAAAAAAATTTTTAGGATTTTTATATGATTCAAGTAATCTTACAATGTCTTTGCCAATAGAAAAACGCAATAATATTGCTCAATTAGTTGATAAATATTCAGGTTTACCTCGTTGTACTATTCGAGACTATGCTCAACTCATTGGAGTCCTCAATGCAGCATGTCCAGCATCTAAATACGGATTTTTATATACAAAAATATTAGAACGCCAGAAATATCTAGCCTTATTGGATCATAATAATAACTATGAAGCAAAAATTAGTTTACCAAGTATTATATTAAATGATTTGAACTGGTGGAAAGATAACATATTTACAACATTTTCTCACTTAAGCGAACCAATATATAAATATGAAATATTTACAGACGCCTCCCTAACAGGTTGGGGTGCTGTTTGTAACGATAAAAAAGTTAATGGCAAATGGAAGAATATTGAAAAGCATTACCACATAAATCAACTAGAATTGTTAGCTGTATTTTTAGGACTCAAAAGTTTTGTTAGCAATGAATCTAATTGCGCAATATTATTACGCGTGGACAACACCACAGCTATTAGCTATGTGAACAGAATGGGAGGTATCCAATTCCCACACCTAAATGATCTAACTAGGGACATTTGGCAATGGTGCGAGAGCCGTAATATCTGGTTGTTTGCATCTTACGTGAATACCAAGGAAAATCGCGCAGATGCCGAATCCAGAAAAAATAACCCTGATACGGAATGGGAGCTATCAGATAACGCATTTCAGGAAATAACTAAACTTTTTGGTTCACCAGATATAGACCTTTTTGCCTCTCGCCACAATGCCAAATGTAACACATTTATTTCTCGATATCCGGATCCAGATGCATTGGCCGTCGATGCGTTCACTATTAATTGGAAATTTAATTGTTTTTACGCTTTCCCGCCTTTTTGTTTAATATTAAAATGCCTAAGAAAAATCATCGACGACCAAGCTACCGGCATATTAATATTCCCACACTGGCCTTCACAGCCTTGGTTCCCAATTTTACAAGATCTGTTAACGTCTAAAATACATTACTTTACACCCAGTAAATATCTCCTACGTTCTTCTTCCAGGGAGTACCATCCCCTGCACAACACTCTTATCCTGGGTGCCGCGAAGCTCTGCGGACGGCGTTTGCACGCAGGGACGTCCCGCCTGCCGCGCTTGACCTAATGTTAGCGTCGCTATCCGACAACACTGTCAAACAGTATAGCGTCTCGATAAAACTCTGGTGGCAATTTTGTATGGCTAATAACATAGATATTTTCGACAACACAATTTCTCATGTGTTATCCTTTTTAACAGAGCAGTTCAATAAGGGGTGTTCGTATGGGTCCCTTAACAGCCACCGGTCGGCATTATCACTTCTTTTGGGAGACAAAATCGGTTCTGATGATCGGGTCAAACGTATTCTTAAAGGAGCTTACAAAATTAAACCTAACCGACCCAAGTATCATTCTACTTGGGACCCTCAAGTAGTACTTAATTACATATCAAGTTGGCATCCAAATTTAGAATTAACTCTGGAAAAAATTACAAAGAAATTAACCGTTCTTCTAGCACTGTGCACAGCGCACAGGGTTCAGACTATTTCACTAATTAAGATTGACAATATTGTAATAACAGACAGCGGCGTTAAGATACCCATTACAGACACAATTAAAACATCTGCACCTGGTCGCAATCAACCGGTGCTATTCTTACCTTATTTTCACGAAGATGTAAGGATCTGTCCCGCTTCCGTCCTCAAGGATTATATTTTTTTTACAAAAAATCTGAGAACTGAGAACGCGGGTAATCTATTGTTGACCATCAAAAAGCCACACAAGGCTGCTACCGCTCAATCCGTTAGTCGGTGGATCAAGGCAGTACTGTCGGAGAGCGGCGTAGACACGCGCATTTTCAGCGCGCATAGCACGCGACACGCGGCCACGTACGCCGCTTGCTCCGCGGGACTCAGCGTAGACGCAATTAGGAAGACAGCTGGCTGGACTTCCACGTCTCAATGTTTCGCGCGTTACTATAATAGACCTATAATCAATGCTGATAGCGATTTCACAAGATCTGTTTTTAATCAAATTATTTGAAATGTTTCATTTCATTGATTCCGAAGAAGAAAAGACTGTTTTTGTTACTTATTTTTTATTATGTCTTGATTAAGAGAGTGTTTCTGTATCGGACCCTGTCCTGTTTACTGAATTAAAAATGTGAAGTTTAACTTTACGAAATAAATACTATTGATTATAAAAGTAATTTGTTCTTTATTGATAAAACTGCAAATAGTAGTTACATTCTGAATTTGCTTAATAGCAAAACAAAACTTTAGTCTCTAAACATCTACCTGGTTATAAATAAACTATATCTGAAGAATGAAGTGACGAAATATAATATATGATCAAACGAACTTCCAAGTGAAGTTCGATCATTATTATATGAGTCACTTCATTCGAAGATATAGTTACCCTAAACCCACCCTGAGAAAAACAGCAGAATGCAGTGTTTTTCAAACCCAAAATAAAGTTTTGTTTTCCTTGAACTCTAAAAAATGGCTCAAACATGGCCGGCCTAGGGAGGGGCGCGCGGCCGTACATTCGATNAATCTCTATCCTTACGTAAGACGAAAAGAAAGATCACATCGAATGAAAAAAAATCCTGAGGATTCTACTAAACTAGGACATAATTCTACCCATAGTACTGAGGTCCATGATAGAACTGATCAGCTCGTCGGTCTATCACAACCAGATTAGCAGTTTTGGCTGGGTGCCCGTGGTGGTAGACCCACTTCTTGCCTGACTTGCCCCCTTCCTTGTGGAATTTCGCGTGCGCGTGTTTCCCGTGCCCGTCGTGGCCGCCTGATACGCGGTGACCCTGGAGAAAGAAAGAAATAAGATTATTATAATTATTTAACTTCATCATCATCACTTCTTCTAAGCACTTGCCATAATAATAATATGTTTCTCTCGAAGCGCTGGTAGAGCCCAAAAGATAAGGAGACATGTAAAGTGCCCCTTAAGGCCTACCTTTTTTACTGTACTTTGACGTTCATAAGTGCCACTAGTGGTCTAAATTGAATAAAATATTTTTGATTTCATTTGATCATCATCATTTCAGCCGTAGAACATCCACTGCTGAACATAGGCCTCCCCCAATGTTTTCCATGTTGATCGATTAGTAGCGGCCTGCGTCCAGCGCCTTCCAGCTACCTTTATGATGTCGTCGGTCATGATGATTATTTAACTTGCTAGAATCCATTCCTAAGTATGAGACTGCATCTAAGTTGTACTAGCCCCACAAGGCCCGGTTTTGGAGTAAGGAACAAATCCTGGAGTTACCATAAAATTTTGTTATGACGGAAAATCCTCCATGCTTTGTAAAGATTTTTTCAAAAATAATCAAACAAAGTATCCTGATATTTCAGCTCCTAGGTTTTAAAAATAAATAAATACTTTTGACTCTACATTTTTGTTGTTTAATGGCACATTTTACGTTCAAATGAGATGCTACAGTATTTTAGTTGATACGCTGCCATCCATTTATTATGATAACTTTATACCTGACATTTATCTATCTTTTATCCATCCCAATAGCTAATTACTAGACTATAAAATCATTAAAATCACCTCTAAATGACTTTCATTAATGACTTCTCAGAAAGTCCCTGATTTATCAACTCCGTCTTTATTTTTATCGCCCTAATCCCTTGAGACCCTATTAGCATAATGCTGTAAGAATTCTTTATGGGATTACCTATTTCTGTTGTATTCTAAGAATAAAGCGACATTATCGAATTTGGGAGTTCAGCTTTATACTATAGTTTGAAATGCGCTTAAGAGTTTTGTTCTTAAAGTACACAGACGCAAATACAAAGATAATACTTAGAGTCAAAGCGCGTAAAATAGAGCTAAAACGATATTTTCTTCTCAGAAAATCAAAGTTCCAATATAATCTAAGTAAGCAGGTACCTACTTTATTTCAGTGTTAAATACTGAAACTACGCCTTGAAGTGCTAGTACACTATGGAATGCCATTTACTGCTGTGTACAATAGGTAATATTTTGAAACATACATGTAGCTCGAAGTACTCTTGACTGCACCAAATAAGTTTCTTCCCTTGATGAGTAAAACAGTACCTAACTATTATGCTCTACAATCGTAGTTCTAGAATTATATTTAGTCACTTTTCTTTTGACGATATCGATTCGATCATCTTAGCTTCAGACGAATTTCGTAACCTAGCGAACAGTTAGTCGAAAAGAAGCGATCACAAATTCATCTGTCACGAATCACTTGTCTAAAATGGGACCTAGCGAAGAACCGAAAGTATATGTCTAAACGAAGCGATTACTTACGATATAAGAATGTAACTTTTGTCTAGAGGGTTTGTTTCTAGGCACAATAACCCTCATCCCTTTATCGGAAAATTCGCTATTTCCATAAAACTAATAAAAATCTCATTTCCAAAGGACCTACTCAAATAGACTTCACGCCGAAACTAAATAATCTTAGTACAAAATACACTTGGGCGAAAATACACACAATCGGTCCGAAAAAGTGGGTTAGAAGGGTTTAAAAAGTAACCGTAACCATTAGATGACATTTAGCTTAAAAATAGGATAGGTAAATGTTTGATTCTGAAAGTCATATTACAAATATACAAATCCCATCAAAAACAATACTTGTCAAAAAAACCAAGTCTCGCAACTCAGTTGTTCTACGGTAAAAAGTTGTGAGATCCATGTAATACCAAGTCCAGGCCAGGAAATCTTTAACGTTTTACATAAATATATTGACTTGGCCATCGCACTAAATAATTTAATTTACACGTGTTTTCATGCGATGGCCAAGTCAATATATTTATGTAAAACGTTAAAGATTTCCTGGCCTGGACTTGGTATTACATGGATCTCACAACTTTTTACCGTAGAACAACTGAGTTGCGAGACTTGGTTTTTTTGACAAGTATTGTTTTTGATGGGATCTCATTTCTTTTTGTATTTTGTAGACAGCAGTTATGTATCTAGAAAACTGGACCGAAATTGAAAAATTTTACTCGACTTGGCGGTTGCACTACCGTGCCCCCAAATATTTTAGTTTTTCCTTGATTCATACACCAAACACTACTTATATTCCAAATTTGAAGCTTCTAGGTCTGCTAGAAGTGCCTTAGAGTTTTGATGATCAGTGAGTCAGTCAGTGAGTGACAAAATTTAGTAACTTTGACTTTATAATTCTTAAACTACTGGTTCAAATTGAATGAAATTTTAAATATACCGTGTCTTTACAATGCCTGCATAGCTAATGAAAATTCAGCCTTCTAGTTTTATCCACAACGAAGTTACAGGCAGTCAAAAATGGCCTGAATTGCTTCGAGAAAAGGATGGTACGGCCGTGCCGCTTTTTTGCTCGACTTGGTGGGGGCACTGCCGTGCCCCCAGATAACTAAACCCAAAACCTGACCTTTATTTGACTAGTTAAAGTGTCTTTATCCTGTGATACGGATATCGGCACGCGTGCGAATCTGATCGGAAAAACGTGTACATATTGAAATGCCAACATCCGCACGCGTGCCGAAATTCGCATCAGGCCGTTTGTAGGGTGGTTTGGTAGGGTGGAGTCACGCGGACCGTCCGGTGCGGACCCGCTCCGCACGGCCAATCTGTATGAACTTCTAGGGAGCGTTTTAGAGTAATGCGGTCCGGAGGAACCGCTCCGCTCCTTAGCAGTTCATACAGATCGGCTGTGCGGAGCAATCCGCACTCACAGTCCGCGTGACACTAAAACCAGCCGTAGACATCCGTGTTTTCACCGGACGACGGACCGTCAAAAAACGGATATCCTTTGTTCGCTGTCAATTTTCTCGCCGGACCTATGTCCGATGCATGTGCACACACATACAACCATACGCCACTGCTAAATCAGGCGAAAAAATCGGGCCGTTGTCCGGTAAAAAAACGGATGTTTACAAGCGGCCTTACGTGTAAAAAGACACTTATTACGATTGTCAGTCGCTTCAAGACATTCGTATCTTCTAGAAAAGCATTCTTGATCTTTTTTCAAAGCGTTCTTTCATCATCATCATCATTTCAGCCATAGGACGTCCACTGCTGAACATAGGTCTCCCCCAATGCTTTCCACGTTGATCGATTGGTAGCGGCCTGC